GATGATTATTGCTCCATAATTCTGAGCGTGAAAGAGATCTGATATAATTTATTTTTTTTTAATATCCGATAAATAATTATAACGAAATTTTAATGTGTAACTAATATAAATGAAATCTGAATTTATTAAGTGTACAAAAGGTAAATGTAACTTATAGATGCGATATTATAATTTACGTGTTTGCTAAAGATTTAAACTACGATTTTGCAAACTTAAGGAATAACAAATATAATTTTAAAGTATACAACGTATGAATTCGAAAGGTATTTTGTTTAGAGGCTAACGTGAGTTTCACTTGCACACCATTCGATACATTGAAAATAATTTCAACACCTTTTTCTTCCTTTTCTGTTTTTTTTTTTATTGATATGACTAAAGAAAAACTAGTTCTAATTGTAACGGGGACCGTTACAGATGTTCCCCAAACGCTCCCCAACTCCCTTTTTGTGCAAATTCCAATATGCTTAGTTTCGCAGGATTTCATAAAAGAATTTTAAAAACTACAATGAGATTAACTTTTTTGTCATTTAACGCATTGTTCGCAAACGCACGTGCATGCACATGCAAAGTGATCATGACATGTTGTCTAAACCATTAACATATCTTTATATTCCAGAATTCAATAAAAAGTCATAAAAATATAAATGTTACCGTTTTTCAAACATATTGTTCTTTTTACGCATTGCGTGTGTGCATGCAAGCACGTCCTTGCATTCAATTTTGGTAGCAATATCATGTAGGAATCCATTATAGCTATTCATATTCTAAACTTCATCCTGTTTTCTTGAGAAACAAGAAAGATATAGGCATGTAAAGTTTCAGCCAATCAGATTGCAGCACACGTGGATTTACGTGCGTTCATGATAATTCTTATATATCCTGCTATAGATCTTCATAATATGTGACTAAGTTCAAAATTTCAGAGGATTATGACGTAAAACAAGAAAGATATCGAGACATTAGTTTCAGCCAATCAGAGCAAAGCGCACGTGCATGCGCGTAAGATCTTGCAATTTTAACCATGTCATCTTGTCCATACTTCTACTTTATTCATGCATTGTGAGTTTCAAAATATTCTATTAAGAAATATAAAGGTAACGGCTTCATCCAGTATCTTGGTAATTTCACATGTTGCACGTGCGCGCTCTTGCCAGCACACGCGCATGTACGTGCTTTCATGAAAATTATTATATATCATGCTGTAGATCTTCATAATGTGTGACTAAGTTCAAAATTTCAAAGGATTATGACGAAAAACAAGAAAGATAATGAGACTTTAGTTCCAGCCAATCAGAGCGAAGCGCACGTGCATGCGCGTAAGATCTTGCTATTTTGACCATGTCAACACGTCTATACTACTAATATATACTTATATTATGAGTATGAAAGCATATAATCAAAAAATAGAAAAGTTACGGCTGTATCTATTATTTTGGTCATTTCACGCGTTGCACGTGCGCGCTCTTGCAAGCACGTGCGCGCAAAATGACCTTTGTTCGGCAAATCTACATAACATGCCTACTGACCCTAAAAAGGTTTCACCTAAGTCGGACGTGTAGTTTAGGAGATCATTCGCGGAAAAGATTTTCCCAGGAAGAAGAAAAATAATAATAAAAATAATAATAAAAATAATAATAATAATAAGGAAACAGAGTAAAAACAATATGTTCCCCAACTTCGTTTGGGGAACATAATAAATGCCTAATAACTAACTGTCATATAACTTTGAATTTCTCGGGATTGAAATTCCGAGATGGGAGAAATCAAGAAAATCAATGATACAATTACTAAAACTACGTCAAATGCAAGTCAGTTGAATTTTAGAAAATTAACCAATGTTCTCCATAATGTCATTGTTTACATTGTACAGTGTACATGTATCGATCGCCGCATAAAGAACAATGATCGATCCATAATCCCATTACTGTATCAGAATATACAAGGGGCGGGGCATAGTGGCGGCGAGATGAAAGCGGGGTCCGCTTCACGCATCAGTGTGTAAAGCGGTCCCAGAAAGCCAACGCCGGGTTCACTATAGCGGCGGAACTAGAGCTGACCCCAAGCGAACCCGGGGCGCACCCAGAGCGGTCCCAAATTTTCTGAAAGCGAACCCAAAGCCGATCCCGAGCGAACCCGGGAAGCAAACTCGGGGTCCGCTTCGGGTTCGCTCTGGTGTAAGTTTGTGTCCGGTCGGTACTTTATAAGCTTTCTTATCACCCCTGCAAAAGACGGAAATTTCTTGCATTTCATCACATATATACCCTGGTCCCCGCGCAAAAATACATATATTTATATGCAAGACATCAATATGACAAAGAAGATTGTATTGCAATTCATTGACACACGATTTACCAACAATCATATTAGTTTAACAAAATAACCAAAATTAATACAAAGAAGCTAGTATCTCAATGTTCATATATGAACATTGAGGTATTGGTGGACAACTAAAGAAGAAGGTATGGTTTTAGCTTTATTGTGCCCTAAAAATGTAATGACATCAAAAAGTTTTGAAACTGACTTAAATAGAAGTTAAATAAAAGACTCTGATAAATCAGGAAAGAATATGGCATGAAGTTTTACCATTCTGCAATTATGACATCATTAATGTGAAGCATTTCTCTATTTTCAACAGAAAAAGCCTCAAAATGGCACATTTCAAGGGTGATTTTCCTTTAGAAAACAGTGTCCACAGCCGTCGCCCACGTTAATTTTTTGATATTTTGTGCAAAATTTAATAACAAATCACATATCTCAAGATCTTTGGGGGCGATGCCTGTTGACAATGTTATCTGAAAGAAAATTCCTTTAAGAATTGGTGTCTTCTGCAACTTTTTAAGAATATACGGGAAAATGCACATGTTTATGACGTCATAATTAGCATTTAAAAACACATGTGAGAAAAATGACTTGTATGATTTTTATGCATTGAATTTCAATTATTTAAAAAGTATGTCTTTTTAACTTTTGCACCAGTTTCATTTTTTAGAAAATCACAGGGCAAAATTTGTATGGAAACCATACCTTCTTCTTTCACAGTTTTGATGCAGCTGCAGATTATTCAAGTGGAAAATGAATGTAAATAGATTAAGGGCACATGATACAAAGATGATATTTCATTGGCCAAGACATAGATGATTCTCTCCGTGAAAGAGGGTTCAATACATTGTATCATGATCGAGGGAACAAAACAGGTTAAAAGAATTAAGGTAGGTTTCTTCTCACATTTCTTGTATTTAAAGATTAATGAGATTTTCACAGAATCAAGAGGACAATATTACTAAGTGATGGTATCAGTGAGATTAAATTTGACCGTTTAATATCAGAGGCAAGGTCAGGTCAAGGTCATTACCTCTTTCCTGGACATAAGGAATAAAAAAAATTACTGTTTCTAATTATGCGATCCGTACTTGCAATTCAAAAAATAAAATGTTTTTCTTTTTGCATAAAAAGATAATATCATAAAGAGCCTATAAGATAATATTTCCAAATTGACATGGATAATTAAAATAAAAAGGATATTTGCTAATCCAAATTTCCTCTACTTTTCTTAAATTTTTAGGATTTATTAGTTATTTTTATATGCTTCGTATATTTAACTTTTTCTGATTTTCACATATAGTAAAGTTGTTACATAAAGGTACAAAATGATACAAAAACTAAAAGTTTTGATCATTATTAAGAGAGAAATAACACTTTTTACGGATTTTGGCTCAAATCTCTACTTAGATTTGAAGCATTTAAAAGCCAACATAGTTCTAGTATGTCTATTAGTAAATTCTATTTATTTGATATATTTTGAAACTTTAGTCCCTATTATTAATTAAACTTACTTTTGAAATTTTCGTCTAGTCTTTTATTGCTTAAAAAATATAACTAAATTTAATGTTCTATAATAATTTTGAGAGGCAGAAATGAAGATATTTTCAAACGCCACCATTCCGCCAAAAATATAGTCCCTGCTAGTTTTCAAGCCCAGTTTACCACTTCTATTTATAGTTGTGTAATTATGATGAGGAAAGAAGAATATGGTCTTTTAAATCTCTTACATCTGAATATATAAGACATCAACAAATATACTTTGAATATCCCATCTAGTTAGAAACCAGAGATGAATCCTACCTTAAAACATACGAGATAAATGCTATTATTTCCATAATACTGTAAATCACTTTTTATTCGCGAGAACTTTATTTACGCGTAATTACGCGAGACAGTGTGCTCGCGAAAATTAAATTCTCGCGTATAACAGTATTCCTTAAGATTATATAGAGCAGTTACCACGATTCGTGAAAATTTTGTCTCGCTAATCTAGAGACAATAACTATCTCGCGAAATAAAGGTGTCGCGAAAATTTAGTGATCTACAGTATTAAGATTCTTGCTTAAATCTATCAAATTGGGAAATTTCAATTTGAAATGTTAAAGAATCGAACGGGCTATAGTGCAGAAATAGGGATTTACCCCCCAAAAATATAACTAATATCAATATATTGGATTTGAGGGTTGAGTCTAGTTATTTTTAAAGTTTTTCACCCTTCAACCATCTTTCGGATCGTTACGAAACTGTTGTTGTAGTTCTAAGGTCTTTTGGAATATTCTGCACCTTAAAATCATTCTCTAAATCGATAATTTTTGAAAAGTTTAGATCAAGTTTGCTTTTTGTTTCGCTTTAGTGAAGGTTGAAGACTACCCTCATAAGGCAAATCTCTCTGAATGAGTGTTTTTTTTAGCATTTTCAGCATTTTTGTATCTACTCTTTCATTTAAGTTTCAGCTTACAATTCAAACAATGCAATTCTAAATCTTGTCTATATTCATTCTTCTGAAACCCTGCTACGTTTAATTCTTTAATTCAATTAAAAAGAGCTCAGTTCAAACTTTAAAGAAAATTATCTTTATACCGTCTGTCGAAATTATGTACAAGTTGTAGGAAAGTCAGGATTCTAAGAGTTTTATATTTCAGTCTTATGATTGGTAATACATTAATTTTGAAACTTACCTTTTAGAGTTTCTTCGTTTGTTCTCTCATCTGAAAATATATATAATTAAAAAAAAACATGCGACGGTTATAGATATCGTCTCAAGTACTACATTGTAAGAAATATTCTATAGGAATTAAACTGTTTTTTTTTTTAAATGATGCAAGTTTCTGGAAAAAGTACATTTATTTTACGTATATCCTCTTACCTATAGTTTGTTGTGTTTGCTGAGGGCTGCTTTGTTCTGTAGAATGATCTGTCCACGGAGAAGAATCATTTTCTAAATCCTTTCCTGAACAAAATTTGATTTATTATTCTGAACAAAATGAAAACAATTCAAATTTGCCATTATCAAGTACGCACATACCTTTAAAAATAATTTATGGAACGAGATTAAATTAACAATTATATAACAATAAACGCTAAATAAATACTTCGAAAGATGTTTTTTTAATTACTTTAATGTATAATCAACGCAAAAGGATAAATATGGTAAAAATAAATCTAGCATTCAACTATAATTTTTTACAGAAAACGTTCTACTTCGTTAAAAAGATTCTGAGTGAGGTAATCAATTACTAAAAGTCTTCTTTACAAAACGCATCTACCATTCAAAGAACTTTAATGTGAATTCATTGATTTTTTGCGTAAATACCTTTTCGCTCAAGTAATAAAGTCATTGGCCACTTTTCAGAGATTCCGAAGGCAAACAATTGATTGATTTATTGATTGATTGTATACTGTTTAACGTCCCACTCCAGAATATTTCACTGATATGGAGACGTCACCATCGCCGGTGAATGGCAGCAAATTTAGGCCTATGCTCGGCAATTACGGCCTTTGAGCAGGGAGGGATCTTTATCGTGCCACACCTGCTGTGAAACGGGGCCTCGGTTTATACTGTCTCATCCGAAGGACCGCCCCATTTCGTCGCCTTTAGCGACAAGCAAGGGGGTACTGAGGAACTATTCTAACCCGGATCCCCACTGGAGCAAACAATTAAAGCTATTGACAAAGATGTCAATGTCGTTCATTATTTTTTTTAATTTATGCCTCATATTTGTCAATAAACTTATACAAAAACGAGATACGAGGGGTGATCAAAAAGTTCGCGAACTATCTCCATATTTACAAAACCGCAATTCAGATCAGAATGAAATTTGGCATACATAGAGTAATACACATGTTTTATACAAAGCATATTTAAAGGAACATTTTGCCCCGAGTTTGTGACGTCACAATGTGAAAATGACGTCATAAGGTAGATAACTTGTGATAAAAAATATGGTTAACTCAGTCGTATTCGAGAAAAGAATGGCTGTAAAGTTAAACGTTTATCTTAGAAATTCCAATGTTAAAGTTAATAATAATTTGTACATGGTTTATGAAGACAAAAGACTCGCCATAAGTGTTGTAATAAATTGGATTGATTATTTAAGCGCAGGAAGGGAGATGTTTAAAAATAATGTTTGTTTTGTTGCCCGGTGAAAGCAAACTGCACGATCGCCAACTACAGTTAGAAAAATAGATGAATATCTTTACAATGATAAAATTATCAAATATCTTTGATATCGTTTACTTTAGACATTAAACATATTAGATTTGATAAAGTGAATGCACCGATACTTTATCCACATGAAATAAACGACGCTCAAAAGACAGAGGACTTGGGTTTTGATGGTCACCATGCTCATTCTGCAAAACGACATCATTATCTACCCATGCTAATGCAGAGATTATGCCATTTCTGACAAATGGACTGTTTTTATTGCAAAAAATAAATTGCATGGTAAGAAATACAAGAGTCCGAAAAAATTTTAATCCTCTGTGACAGAACGCTAAAGAGTATGTCACGTGATCGCCTATATCACGTGATCTGCGCATGGGCAGAACAGCTGCAGATGTGCATTAAAAAGGAGAGTACTACTTTGAAACATTTTCAACATTGAAACCACGTATCATTTCTTTTTCGGAAGTTATTTAATTAGTTCGCGAATTTTTTCATCACCCCTCGCACAGTTCAAACCAATCTTACGGAGAGCCATCCCAGAACTGCTTTTTACACCTGCTCAAGCAATCCAAGCTTGTCCAGAAAACAGTCCTAGTGGGCGGGATTTATGAATTTAAGGGACAGGGCTTATTCAGAAATGAGTTTATTAATTATAAAGTACTACACAAACTCAGTTACTATTAATGATGCATTTTCTGCTTAGGTATCCACAAATATTAACATTTCTTATGCCACAGTAATTTTACACAAAGCATGGTTGGTACAAAGGAATCACTTTCCGTTCATATCTTTCTGTTCTCTTAATGTTTGAACATTAGAATCTACTACATCTACTTCCAAAAAGATTGCTTAGCACCTGAGGGGATATAATAATTCCTCTCCGGTCCAAATATTTCTTATGCATAAAGTTGGTGAGTTCCTATTCTCCCAAATGTTCTCAATTACCTTAAAAGTAATCTATGGTCATTTGGCCGAGTTCAAGGTCAATGTGTTTGGTCCATATCTTTCTTATACAAAAACTTGTAAGTTCTCTTTTACACAATGATTGTTTACGACTTTAAGGTGTGCCATGACCGTGACCCAATTTTATTTGTGCAAGTTCAATGTCGCTGAAAGGAAAAGGTCATAATTCGTGCCCGGTCAATGTCTCTCTTACGGATAAACTTTATGAGTTTATTTAGAACCTTTATATCTGAAACATCTGAGTGTAAAATCAATGTCCTTGAAACTGACGATTAAAATCTAAAATAGAGAATAGGTGAAATGGAGCAAAATTTAAGGCGTGATTGTATTTAAAGTATCTGGAATTCCATGATCGGTTGGTGGTGTGAAGGAGGATACAAAGGCTATTGCTCTAAAAGTCCTCAACTTACCACTCGAATAGATCGAGTATGCATATAGGACGCACCGGGTAGGAAAACCAAAACAGGACAGTATCAAGTGAAAGGTACAGTGAACTGTTTCAAAAGAAGTGTTTTCAAGGTGAGTCTTAGGAATCAAAATAAAAGAGGAAAACAATGAATGCTATATAGTGATCAAGATTAATCCAACAGTGTAGTTAGATCTAATCCTTTCAAACTGAACATTGAAAAGTTATTGGCTTAGATTGAAATAACAGAGCCTGCTGAGGAAAAGATAATATTACTTTGCTCACTTACCCTTCCAGAGAAGAATTCATAAGGAAGCTTTTGACTTAATCAAGCTTTAAGATTGAAAAAAATGAAAAAGGTTTTAAACCCTTCCAGAAGCTGAGGAACTGTTGGCAAAGTCAATAAATCATGACAATATTTGACAGCATCTAGTGAAACATAAAATCTCGTCTCCATGATCAGTCTTTATGCACTATTTTAAAAGACAGAAAATCATTAACCTTAACAGATAATTATCTTCAATATTTACCATCATGTAGTCCAATTCTTCTGAAATTTTCAGCTAAATCTACAAAAAAAATTATGATTAGTCAGAAATCCTACATTGTCCTAAAACAGGGAACTGATATTTCTTATACAGTGTAATGTCATCAAGAAACACTATATATAATAAAAAATGAACATAAAAGTTATTCTTTATTTTTAGATAAAATTTACTACACCAGTCAAATAAATATGTTAGCAAAATATCATCTTGCCGGGTGAGTCGGTCGTTTTATGACATCTCACCCACAAAATAAATCTAACTGAATTTAATCTATTTTCTCTTCAATAGGTTCATCTTAGAAAATATTTTCAAATGTAAATATATATTAAATGCGTTTTTTATCATCCTTTACAATACCTTTTTCCCCAGTTGCCATTTTGATGATCTAGCTTGTACAGTTTTTCTCTGAAAAAAAGCATATTTTAAGACAATAAGTGTAAAATAATTGAAAATGAATGTTTTAAATATAGATGACAATATAGGAGCAGAGAAAACACGCGGACCTCCAAAGCATAGGAAGTGGGATAAGGTGTCATGGAGTAGTGAGCATCCCCTTCCGACTGGTCACACTCGCCGTACGCGTGTGCTTCTTATGATGATCGGAAAATAATGAAAAAATATGTCCTGGATTCAGTGTATAAATAATTGACTAGAAAAATGGAATAAAAATACGTCATTCAGCATTTGACTCAATGATAAATTGAATTGTATTTGCTGACAAGTTTATTGTATCGACCAAAGAAGTAACAAAATGATTACTCAAAACGATACTATAAAAACCCTTGTGTCAGAAACTTGTTTGTCAATAATTTGCCACGTTTTGAAAATTGTTCATACGTAGAGTGTGCTCTTGCATAGTGAATCAACTGAGATATATAAACTCTATATGCAGGTTATGAAGATATAAGGAAAATTGATGATAAAAAAGTTAAAGTCATCACTTTTTTTCTCAATTTCACCAGGATTTCTCATTTATCGACATACATGTAAGAGTGAAAATCACCATAGATAGGTATAGTTTATAGTTAACTTAAGTAATATATATGCTACTTCGATGTCAACTGAAGTAATAACAAAAAAAATAAAATGCACGGAACATCTTATGATCTTGCAGACAACAACTCAAAACACCAGCATCAGTGACACTGTAGATCACTTATCTTCGTGACACCATTGTTTTGTAGTGAGTTTACGTACTTTACAGCTTTAATAGAATTATGTAGAAAATAAAGTATTTTCAAGGAATTCAAAATGAAACCACATGAAAAATTGTCTTGCTATCTATATTGAATTTGACATTATTTTAAAGAAGAGGCCAGGAACATACAAATTACTGTTTCCTGATGAAAGACTGTTGGCAATATGTATACATTTTTTTGTCTGATACGGTTTTCTTAATTTTTCATTGTAAATAAAAAGTGTAAAATATGATTTTTCATCCTGTTAATCTACAAATTATGCCCCGGAACAACTTATTTGATCAAGCTTATGTTATAAAGAATCATTAAAAGTATAATTTCTTAAATTTGAGAATTCAGTAGGCACCTTGCATTTACTAGATCTTGACTTTAATCTATAAGCGAGACAAATTTTTCACGAATTGTAGTTATATTAGAGAGAATAGAATTTTAGCGAGCACATTGCCTCGCATTATCAACCAAAAATTAAGTTATTCCGTAGAAAAAAACAGAGATTGCATGTAGATCAATTTAATTTTGAAAAAAAATGTTAAAAATAAAGCCTAAAATTGTGTTACATCATCACATTACCACTGAGTGTTACATGTAATTCTTCAAAATCGGAATAGGCTCAAGAAATGATCACTTTTCATCAAAACTTTCATATTTATTTTTTTTCTAGTTTCCATGATTTATCTAAAAGAATTAATTAGAACATAATTTTTATGTTATTCAAAATTACAAATGGGTTGCGCCAAAATTCTGAAAACATTTTAATAATCTATATTCATATGCCTGTTCCCTTCACTTATTTTCTTTTCTTCAATCATCCAAACAATTATCTAGCTAAGGTGTAAAGAAAGACCTACTCGTTGCTTGCAACGAGCATGTATTTAAAGTATTGCCCTTGCAGGTACCGGTATCTGAGAAAGTCTTAATTAAAATTGATGTCAGATATCTAACTTCTAATCATGGCATGAGTATAAATATGCTTAAATGTAGAAATAATTTCTTTCGAACTACAATAACTATTAAAGCGAGATTCCAAAATACAGACTGTGTATTTTACTACAGTACAGTGAAAGAAATACTACGAACATTATTCTTTAATATTTAATCCTGCAACATTAACAAAAACTCAAACATACCAATTAAATGTAATTTAAAAACCAAGAAAGACAAGAGGAAGAGGGCAGTAGCTTCCTTCCATCAAGTGTTTTTCATTTACATGCCTGAACTCTGTCTCAGTTGATGTCGGACAAAAGACCGACTCCTTGGTTGCAACGAAATTGCCTTTAGTTTATACGTTTTTAATCGAAAAGGTTTACGATAAGTTTTTTTAAACTATTACAAAAAGCAACTGAATTGTTCGCAAAACGTACACAATAACAAAATCTACGTGTATCAGGGTCAAATTGCTGCATTACACATTCTTTAAAATGTCTGCTTGATATATGTGGATTGTTTATCCAAAACTACGAACTATTTTAATGTTTTTTTTGTCCTACCCCTTGAAAAGTGGGGGACATTAATCTGGGTCTGTCCGTCCGTCCGTCATTCTGTCTGTCTGTACTGCTTTCGTTTCCGCAAGATATCTCGAGAACCCTTTTAGCTTTCGCAATGAAATTTTGCATATCAACTCCCTATGGACTGAAGAAGAAACCTATTGACTTTGAGGTCAAATGGTCAAAGGTCAAGGTCATAAATTTGCAAATTCTGTCTGTATAAAAACACTATCCTTTCCGGGCGATCTTTCAAGATGATTTTGAGCTTTTGCAATGTAATTTTATACCAAAACTCCCTAGGACCTCTCTTACCCCTCTTAAAGTGTCCCGTCCCGTTTTTTTAATTAGTATTTATTGTATTACATGTCGCTATTTTTAGCACGGGGACATGAGGAGAGTTATTACGTATAAAACAGTTCTCGGTGGCCTTTATATTCTTATTACATGTATTAGAACTGTTGATAAAGGTTAAATTAGACACCATTCATTGTGTAAAATTTTTACAATATCGAAGTTCAACGTTAATACTTAGTATATACATGTATGTGACTTCATCTTTGCATATAATTTGGATCTGTTCAAAGATGTTCCTTGGTCTAGTGGTATGCCTCTCGCTTCATGCGTGAGAGGGCCCGGGTTCGCATCTCTGCCGATCCAATTTTTTTTTTTTCGAAATACATTTTTTTACTTAATGATAGTATCTAGCATGTGATATGAAAAATATATGAGGTCTGGCTCGTACAAACTCATAAAATCATCGTTACTGTGTAATAGATATTACATATAAAGAATCTTCTATACACATAATCAAGAATAAGCAATCAAATCTTTATAAATTATCCATAATGGCATATTTTATTTGCTTCAGTATACATGTATACATTTAATAATTCTACAAATTCAGTCAAGGGGATCAGACCCCCTCCTCCCCGAACTGCGCATGGTTTACTTTTTCCTTAAGGGGGGGGGGGACACGAATTCTCTGAATTAGCTTGTTTCATTTTTCTTTTGACCCGTCTTGTAGATACTAGATACATCTTTGAAATTTTGTATATTGGTAGCCTATTCACGAGTCCAACATTTGTCTTCATAATCTTCCGTTCTATTGGTGGTTATGCTAGAATGTGCACATTGGGCATTAAGGCGTCATTTTTCATTACCTGGATGAAATAATTCTTCATTGATACATGTTTTGAATAAAAGGTTTTAAAAGTTTAAAACTTTGTCTTGATGGTTGTTTTTAGAATAGTTATTCTTTTCTATAATTATTTTAATAATCGTGCCTAAAATAAGTAAGAAGATGGGGAGATAAGGCGGGTAGCATGCCTATAGTGTCAGGTATTTAGATATCACATTTGATATGTATATTGAGTATTTAAATCTACTTCTCATTATTGAAATTAACGAAATTATGGAAAAAAAAATACATTTTCATAGAGAAAAAAATCTCTTAAACATTTCATTTCTAAAAAAATATTAGATTGTATATCTGGGATTCGAATCCCCAGTAATAAAATACCGAAGTATCATACTGCTTTGAGACAAACGAGCTACCCACTGCACAACATGGCTCACGACGACTAGGGGCATTTAAATCATGTTTGTGATATGACCCTTAACTAATGGACTTGAAGTATTTCTCGGAAAGATGCGAATGTTGTGTCATAAAAGTGTACTTTTAAAGTGTAGTGGGTCTTCGCTCCATTTTTAATGTTTATTCTATCGCAAAATTTAAAGATAATCTTTCAAAAAAAAAATGGAGCGAATTTAAATGAAAATATTGAAAATTTTGTTCTAGTATGAAAAAATTATCGTTTTTGTTCTTTTAAGTCTGTGTATGCTTTTTCATAGGCAAATATTTGCAGTCTTAGTGAGAGTTCTGTAATTTATAGATTGCAAATGACTCAGTTGAAGGGTCACGGACGCAGTTGCAGCTTGAGTTATCTAAAACGATGTTAGGTCATCTATTTACTCAATCTAAAAAGACGAAAATGTATTATCTTGGTAGATAAAAATATTTCTAGAAACAAAAATGAAGCTTTTCTTGAAAACATCTGTATATTTAAGAAATAAGTATCATTTTGAAACATCTATTGGGATATAAATACGGGTTGGTCACGAGATTAAATTCCATAAAGCCCTAAGGGCTTTATGATTAATTAAATCTTGTGCCAATCTGTATTTATACATGTGGCCCGATAGATGTTTTAAAATGATACCTTATTACTTATATTTACATTTGTGACTTATTTATACTGTACATTTGCCTGATTTTGACTTATAACATGTGAACTGCGTTATTTTTCAAACCAAACGGCATGTATGTAATCCACTGAACACGCGTCGAACCTTTATGATGTCACAGAGAAATTACGTCGAAAGTTTATCCATACGCACATCTATGACCTCTTGACCCTGTACCTATATTTATACAGTTATAGATACACATTGCTTTCAGTAGTGTTATATAAAGGAAAACATTTACAAATGTAAATATTCATAGATATTAAGTGTTAAATGTCGGATTTTATGAGTGTAGTTTTGCAGACGCAGCAGTTTCTATACAGTGATATCCCGCTTTCTTTTGCGTAGGAATCACAGGTAACTTTTAGTAGCCGACGCTTCCTTCGCCGACAAAGCATCCTTGGAGGAGTCCACTGCTTACTATGAAAGGTGTCACAGGTTACCCCATCGCTAACAGATTACAAATACAAATTCTACAAT